ATCTCCATTCAAACCAGTAGCCACATAGTCAATTTGTCAGTAGTGGCAGGAACAATGGCTTCTGTGGGGAGTGGTGTATGTACAGCAGCTTGGGCACATGGATCCTGTTTCCACAGTTTCTGAATGAGTAGTGTATTTGATTTGATAGCGGTGGGGCAGACAGGTACTGTAAGTCATTACTGGTTGCTGATGAGAGATTATACATGTTGTATTATAGTATAGGGACAGTAAGTGTGTGGCTCGCAGAGATTCACTTGGTCACAATGACTCTTCTTTCGCCACCCAGGTTTAGCCTGCCTTTTTGGCATCCACAGATGCCTTTTAGTGGAGAGTAAAGATGGCCGTCATCACTATGCTGCTCACAGCTCCACGGCTAAAATTAGAGCAGGCAGGCAGGCGGACAGCTCAGAGAGGAAGAGTAAGTCACCCAAGAGACCACAGCAGCAATTCTCTCTCCTTTGCGGGCACAAAACTTTACATTAACGTACCAGTGCTGCTCGCCTCCCTACATGGCATGAAGGATTTCCAGGTGTTGGCACCAACAGACGACTGGTAAATCCTAGCAGAGCTGCAGTGGTGGGGGTGGCAGCTGGTTCAGCAGAGGTGAAACAAGCAGCCGACAGTTCTCATGGAAACGGGCCCATGTTTTCAGCTGACACAGACGACTGCCAGAGGAGGACCATGTCGGCCGCTGGAGTTGTAATGGTACACTGGGCTAATCCTCAGTTATCACTTCTCTGTCATCTTTGCTAGTGGCTTTGAATTACAGGCTCCACCACCCTAAGAAGACTAGAAATGTTAGAATAGAAGGAAAACGTACGAGTGCCTGCAGGCATGTTGGTGTTATATATTGCAGCTGTTTGTTCCTGAGTGAGTGAGGCAATTCAGAGGAATCATGGTGTTTCCCTGCATTAATGAGATACTGCATTGAAGCATCGTCATCCTTCATCACTGACCACAGAACTGCTTGTCTGGCCAGGTCACATTGAACCGTTATCTGTGAACTGCTGATAGTGCGACTGTTTCTGCTGCTGCCTTCACAGAGCTATAGGTCAATCATTAATTCAGCTCTGAGAGCAGCGTGTGCAGGTGTACCCGCAGTGTAATGTACCTGTTTGTATGTATGTTTGTATATGTATGAGACCAGACCAGGTGCTGCTGATGATAAGCACACGTCAGATGGAAACATGACACCTCAGGAATGAGGCAACACAGACTGTGGGACTCGCTCAACAAGTGAGAGTCAGCTATTATCTTCTGCAAAGTTCGCTCTATATATAGGGGTAAAGAAACTGAACTGGCGAATCATCACTCGGACACCTTCACCCCACCTTACAGCTCGACAGCTCCATCTAACCTAACGAAAAGCTTGGTTAGGCAACTGGGTTAAAAAAGGATCACGTGACAGCCAGGAGCTCTCTAAGGACTTTCGGTTGTGAACAGTTTCCAGTTATTTGACCCAAATGTGTGGTGTGTAGCGCTCGGCGGCAGTCTAATCCACTTTGAAAAGGATATGGCCATGGATGCCCAGGCCTGCATGTTAGAGAGCGAGAGGTCAGGTAATGCTGGTTGTGGGTCCTAACCCTGCTTGTCCTTGTTCTGTCCTTCCTCCCCCTCAGCGATTGACCTGCTCTACTGGAGGAATGTGAAGCAGTCTGGGGCCGTGTTCAGCAGCGTGCTTCTGCTCCTCTTCTCCCTGACCCAGTTCAGCGTGGTCAGTGTCGGAGCATACTTAGCCCTGGCAGCCCTCTCTGCCACCATCAGCTTCAGGATCTACAAGTCTGTGCTGCAGGCTGTGCAGAAGACTGATGAGGGACATCCTTTCAAGTAAGTGAAACAGAAGGTTGATGGATGAGATTGTGAATTTCATTCCAAGGTCTGCATGTATATATCTGTCTTTTCTGTTTCCCTTATTCGTTACCAGAGCCTACCTGGAGATGGAAATCGCTCTGTCCCAGGACCAGATTAGTAAATATGCTGACAAAGTCCTGCTGTACACCAACACCTGTATGAAGGAGCTCCGCAGGCTGTTCCTCGTCCAAGATCTGGTCGACTCCTTGAAGGTTTGTGCCACACATTCGTACCTTCAAAACAAACCGAAACAATCATGAAAAGATTGTCACAAAAGCTGGTTCATTAGATAAAACATATCATGTCTGTGTGTGTTTCAGTTTGCTGTTCTGATGTGGCTGCTGACCTATGTGGGTGCTCTCTTCAACGGCCTGACACTGCTCATCCTAGGTGAGGTCATCTCGACTCACTATGTCTCCCACTCACTCTGCAACAAGCTTCCAAACACTGCTGTTGACTCACACACACCCTCCAGCATTTCAGACTTGTTAAAGACTTGATGAACACAATGCACATAAAAGAGCTCCATTATATCATGAGAAGAACAGCGTGTCCTTCTTGCTGTGCATGAGCCACATTTAATTACTGGACGTGTCTACTTCACTGCCGTACAGTATCTGTTTACTTTTCCAGTTTACCTTAGATAAGTGCAGTGGTTAGGGGCCATGCTGACACAAATGTGTTCCCGTTTGAACATATTCCCACTGTCAGTCTGAATACTTTAACAGTTCTCTCCCTGTGCGTCTACAGCTGTGGTCTCCATGTTCACCATGCCTGTGGTCTATGAGAAACATCAGGTGGGAATTTGAACTTCATGATTTCTAAAGTCGACCCTGCTTTGGAAAATGTTGTCCAGTATTTACACCTCACATTTTCTTTCTGTTTTCAGGCACAGATTGATCAATATGTGGGACTAATACGGACCCAGGTCAACTCTGTGGTGGGGAAGTGAGTGTCATTTTGTCATCAAGATCACTTAAGATATATGAACAAATGTAGTTGTGAGCACAAACTCTGAGCAAAGGCCAGGCAAGAGCAAATCAAGCATGGAAACCCTTTTGGGAGTTTTTACTGAGCAGTTTTGACCATAATCTGACAAAATATCTCTGCATCTTAACGTTACAGCACCTGCCTCTCCCTTATTAGTGCTGCTGAGTTGCACTTGTGCAATTAACCCTTAAAGCTCTAGTGGAGCTGCTCAGTGGGCTACAGGTTTGACTGTAGTTGTACTGGGCAGCCTCCAGGTGCTTGTGTGAAACAGGAAAGGTGAGGAGCGGGCTTGCTTTATAAATCTAGTCTTGGATGGAAACATGGATATGGAAACATGTTGCACAGGGTGAAGAGTCAGATCTGCTTTGAAGAAATGGGACTTTTTTTTACTGAATGTCTGAAACAGACTTTATATTCACTGGCTCTGTCTTAACCCAGAAAACTCAAGTTTCTAAGTGTCTGAAGGGTCAGCTGATGCCAAAACAGCCTGCAGTTTTTGGAATGACCACAGACTTTTCCAATTTTAGTAAAACTTGACTCATTGGTTTTATGGACTCCCATAAAAAGACAGAATACAAAAACAACAGGTGCTTTGCTCCCTGAAAATGAGGCAGAATAGGCGAAAGTTAATCTAGAATAAATATCTTGGCCTTATCTTGGACACGTGGTATTAAAGCTTGTTTTTTCTGCACAGGATCCAGGCTAAGATCCCCGGGGCCAAGAGGAAGGAGGAGTAGACCTGTCTGTCTCACTGGGAAGCTGACAGTCCAGTCCAGCTCAGAGTCAGGCAGCTCGCTCACTGTTGAAGAGCCCGGTCGTCATCTGTGGGGCGTAGTGCTATGTCATTTTGGTGTTCTCTAAAAGCATCCACTGGAGAAGCCTTCACCCTGTCTATAGCAGTCTAAACACTAACACACAGTCACACATACATAATCTTGTTTCTAGGTAGACAAGTACACAACTCAAAAACAAAAAAAGAAACTGACTTTTTTTGTGTTGCTTATTATAAAGTGCATGAAGTCGAGCCTTGGGTAAATAATATTTGATATCTTTTGTGCAGTTTTTAAAATCACGCTCCATTTTTGCTTTGCAGTGCTTACCACAAACTGTATGGTTCAGCACAAAAAAGCTAAATGCCCACAGACGTGCTCTGCTGCCAATGTTAAATACTGCTTCATGTTTCTGAGTTAGCAGTTGGGGCTTCTCTCAGTATATGTCAATATATATAAATATCAAAAATGATTTCCTTTTGGTGTTTCCAAGCACAAAATAATTTAAAAGTATGCGTCTTAGATGTGGTAATTGTAGGGTTTTTGCTTTTGTATAACCATAAGGAACAATACACACGCTCATGTTTAGGTACTGTTGTACAACTACTATGAAGACAAGGAGTATCTGGTGATATTTAGCTTGTTTGAATAACTGTCCAACTTTGTACTATGTTCAACTATACTCTGTAGTTCTTTAGACCCTGGACTCTTTAACTATTTGCACTTACAGTATGTATTTAATTACAAGAATAAGAAAAATAAATGTACCTTGATGTATAACATCTCCTCCGCCACCTCACTGTCGAGTTCACATTCATAAGACAACTTCAGGTTGGTGAAGATGAGACTGTGTATGACACCACAGCTAAGTTTGAGGTGATAACACTTTGGATGGAAGACTTGGAATTAGCTATAAATAGAAGCCACTGAATTTTGGCACAGGCACACCTCTAGTAGTAGGAGCTTAGAGTGTGTGTGTGTGTGTGTGTGTGCGCGCACTGTAGTGATAAATTTAACTTGACTCTTGGGTCACAATGAGACTATGTTTGAATGGAGACTGACTGACGAGCCTCATCTGTTGCAAACAACTATTTTTAATGGCCCACTGCTGAAACAATGTTACAACAAGCTATACAAGATGAATCCAATCAACCAATGGTACATTTCTCATTAGCACTCAACTGTTTACACAAAACAATTTTAGTAAAAGCTGCTAACAACAAGGAAAAGATCGAGGACTTTACTGTGCTGCTGAAAGCTACAGTTCTATTTGAATGTACAGAAAAGGTAAAACATATATAATCCTCGCAACATTAAATTAAAATATTTTTTAAAATTAAATTCAAATTCCTGGCAATTGCTCGTATTGTATCATTAGAATCAGTTCAACACAAATTCAATGTTTTTAAGTGCCTTTTTATGTGTTGAGGAGAGTAACAGGGTGTAGATGGAAGAGAACACCTCTTGTCTTTCCACGACCAGGCTCCACGATGTCCATCTTCAGAGAGGGATCCACCTACAGAACCGATAAACAAACTTTGAAACACACAGAACTACGATGTGCTAGAAACTAAACAAAATGTAAGTGGAAGAGTTGATGATAAAAGGCAAAGTAGCAGAAATGGACGAAAGAGCACCAATGTAACATACCTGGTTCCATTTCTCCAGCTTCTTGTAGTAAACTGGAGTGACCGCTTCCCTTGGAGGTGACTTGATGAACAGTCTACATTACACAATATAAACATAGATTACTAAATGCATACATATACATACACACACACACACACACACACACACACACACACACACACACACACACACACACACACAGTTTGAACATTTAGACTTGATTTCTGTGGGTGTTATGTGTGCATAACCTCGTGAGGCGTTCCCGACAGTCCTCCTGCAGGTGGCTAATCCTGTCAGGCCCCAGATGCAGAGTGCCACAGGGTCCGTCACACGCCAGACGGTTTATAGCCACCCGTAAAGCATTTATCTGAAAAAGAAAGAAAACTTAATGATGTTGAGATCTATGAGTTTGTAATTTGGTGCAGATACAGGTAATCTTAGCTGTTGAAATACTGAGATTTAAAAAAAAAAAAAAAAAAAAAAAAAAAAAAAAAAAATCATACTAAGAAATCTTATTTAGAGTCCATGCAGAAATGCGTCCCGTAAAAAGAAAAGAAAAAAGAGTAAATTGCATCAAGTGCATTGTTCATGCACTTTTAGCTCCATATATTTCAGGGACTACGAGCATGCGAGGAAATGCTGCAACCCAGCTGTGTCTTTTGTCCCAGAGCATGAGGTGAAAAAAGTTGAAAATAGTTAAACGTCTGAAGAGATACAGTAAAAATCACCTGCAGACACTGAGATGCAGCCAAAGAGTGACACAGACCTGAGGAAACTAATCAGTGTTCCTGCCCACTGTCAGGCGTAACACATCTGTCTCTCTGTCTCTGGTGACAGCTGTTACCTCAGTGATGTCCTCAACATCAAACTTAACGTCAAAGGCGAGTTCAATGTCGTGCTCAGGTAGGACACCCGCTTGCGTTTGACTGTTCCAACCCAGTCCACAGAGGGCACCGGTGTAGCAGGTCCTCTCTTCATCAGTGCTAAGAAAATATACATAAATATTATCGTGACTTTTTGACTGTACCACCTTTAAGGTGTGCAATGGTGAGTCTGTGTGTCTAACTAACCGCAACTCCATGATGGGGGTGAAGAGCATGGTAAGGAGTGCAGGCAGTCCAGAGACGTCTGGCATGATGGAGGTATCTTTCAGGAGAATGCGTGTACCTGCAACACAAACACACAAGCAGCAATGTTGATATTTGAAAGAGGAAGAACATGCTGAAAAACAGACAGCCCTAGATTATTATGGTCTTTATACAGCTGTTCTGATAAATCTGTGAACAATTTTTTTAATTCAGTAGTCAGCAGTCTGGCCAGCTGACAATTGTTAAGTCCACTATTTATACCAAATCCTAAGAAAAAAATATCTGGGTCTTCAGTCTGTCTGGGCTCTATGAGACTATGTTCACTAGCTAGTTGCTAGGTGTTTGTTGTTTGGTGCCTGACAAGTACTGTACAGTGGGTTTATCACTTTATCTTTTTAGCTGAACATATAATTTACAACCAAAACAATGAGCTAAAAGAGACTGTCACTTCTGGAAACCCCTTGCACATTACAGTTAGTTGAACCATTGTTAACATCAAAATATAATTAGTGGTGGCTCTAAAACAATGTTGATGGGTTCATATTTACACAAATATTTTGTTTCTGGTACCTGTGGAGTTGACTGACACAGTCCCGGCCACCAGCATCCTCTGGTGTTTGTAGTGAGGGGTTTCATTCAGGGCCAGGGAGTTGATGCTGCACCTCTCTACACACACTGTCCTGGGAGAGGACGCACTCATAAGCAAGGAAAACTTACAAGTTTAATTTGGTATTGGTGTATATAATGTTTACTTGTAGTAGGTCCTGTGGCTCAAGCTGTGGAAGTTTATTTTGTGAGGACTGTTTGGTCCATGCAGATGAACCTGTGGTGTCAGAGAGAGGGAAGCAGTCAGACATCGCCTGATGTATTCATGAATCCACTGGTTATTGTGATTCAGATCTGGGCCCACTCTGTCGTCATTGTTCTATCAGACAGAATGGGTGTGCCTCTGAATGAACACCAATGAACTGAGCCACTGAAATGGCGCCATCTCCTGGACAAAACCATCACCCATCCAGTAACAAAATATCAGCATCTCCACACACAAACCCATTTTTTAATACTCAAGTTTTTTCTTAATTTACTGTTGCTGCACATTGTTACACTGTTTCTGAAAAGTGCTATGCAATCAGATATAATTGTTTTACTATAACTAAAATGTTGGTACAAATATGATATAAAATATTCTGTAAGATGTAGCTTATTCTTGCCTTTGTCTTTGAAAAGGACTGGTTGCTCTTAGAAAAGTGAGAGAGAAGGTTATCAATGAGGTCCTTCTCCTCTTTCTTTCGATCCTTCCAGGAGCTGCTGGCAGCATTGGGGACAAAGACACCCATTTCCATGTCCTTGTACAGGGACATCAGAGCCTCATGGTTTTGCTGCAATGGCACACAAAGACCAGACATCTTGACTGAGAAAAGCACAGATTCCTTCACTTCTTCCTAAATCTGGGCTGGGATATTTTTCCTTAAAAATCAATTAAGTGTCACTCAACAAATTGGGGCTTCTTGTAGGGCTTTGTAGTTTCTATGGATGTTGTGATGCTGTTTGTTTGTCATGAAAACTTTGGTGTACACTTTTCAAGCCTGCAGGGGGCAAGTTGTTAAGTCTTAAGTAAATTAAGTCGTTGATATATTTTAGGTGAAGTATCACGTGTTATGGTTTTTTGATTTATTCTATTGCACAGTGCCTAACACATTAAACGTGGGACAGCCTGAGCTTCCAACTGTTTTGTCACCTTGGAATCAAAGCTCTCTTCGGCCTTCACAGCATGTCCTTCCTCCACCAACATGTCCACCACGCTGGCGTTTGTTGTCTCTGTGTTGATCAGCACATGAACACGCATGCAATTGTGTAGGATGGAGTACAGCGACACAATGACTGACTTGCCCTTCACAAGCGTGATGAAACAGTCGCGGGCTCGGCTGCTCCACTGGTTCCCCATGATGATGGACTGGGCTGAAGGACGCATTCCAGTAACTTGGAACTCCTGAGCCTGAGACCATGAACACGGTGCTTGAATTAATATTTGTTCAAAGTTTGAAAAGTGAAATAAGGTAAATGTGTATTTACTATCCAGATAAATGATGCCACTCATAGTAATACTACCTGGAAAGGGTGAGACAGGAGGTCTGAGGGGAGCTCTCTGAGGCTGCTGGAGGCAACAACCCCCGTGTTGCCAAAGTCCAAGAAAAACACCTGCAGAATAACAGCAAACTCACTGTTCTCTGGTACATCAGATGATATGAACTGCTGTCCTACACTCCTGTTTAAGAATTCCCTATGTTTTGTTTTTCCCCCTGACTTCTAAAGATTAGAAGACAGAAGTACAAAATGCTCACTTGTCTGCATAAACACAAAATACAGACACTACCAGATCTGGCCAGCAACACTTTCATTTCTGCAAACTTACATATATAAGTTTTTCTTTTCTCTACCCCTATACCCTCTGCATTTCATTCACTTTCTTCATGTCTTTAGTAAAGATTTATTTTCCTGGCACCTGGCTAGATCACTAAGTTTAGAGAGATTACACCCTGAAACTCAGCTAGATAACTGTAGAACTTGGTGAAACCTGTCTCTGTAGCATTAAATACACTACTGAGCTACATCAAGCACATTATTAGAAGAAAACATTTTTGACATGGTGGTACAACCTATTAAGTGAAGAAAACAATCTGCATGTCTGAAAAACAGAAATCATTCTCCACCAAAAGAATAATGCTGTCATATAACTTCATGAGCAACCTGTTTCAACCACTGGTGAAAAGGCAATATAAGCCTGTAAGTTTCAATTCCTTGTTCTGAAATGTTTAAAGTGTGAAAGCCACAACACGCTCATATTAGGGAAAGTTGCTGGAAAAAGAAAACAGCACAGGATGTGCTACATCTTGACCAGAGAATTGCAGTGTGCGAGCGATATTCACCTCCACTGTATTGCCACGCATGTGCAGGATCTTGGCACGGTAGTACAGGCTCTGCTCATTAATCTCAGAGTACGGAGCCAGACACAGCAGGTTGGGGTAGAGTGACACAGTTACAGGATGCAGTGTGCGTTTGTTAATATCAGCTGTCAGATGGCGCTGCTTCTCCAGGCTGGCTTCATCTGCCTGGAACCCCCAGAAATTCCCCACCTCCACCACCTGCAGCAGAGATCAGAGTTGAGAGAGGACACATTCATTAAAGATTCAGACATTTAGTCAAAAACCCAACAGATGGCCTTCAGAGTTTTTCTCAGCATCTCTTTTGAAATTTGTCAGACCAAGTTAAATGTAGAAGACTGACCTCTGTGATGTTGACCACAAACAAGCGGTTGAGGGGTAGCTTATCTGGGTCAATAGTGCTGCTCACAACTCCCACTGGGCAGACAGACTGGTTCTGGAAGTCGACATTCACTCTGTACAGAAATGCCACAGAACTGGACTTTAATATTATGTGCACATTCACTTTCACTGCACTCACACTGTGAACACGGTGTCAGACTGTATCTATTGCTGCTTTGATGTTGAATGTCATAACATCACATTATTTTAATGAGTTTACAGAGCTGTCTGGCAAGTGTTCACAAGGTATCTTACATCAAAAGATAACTTGCAAACATAAAAGTTTGTTCAGTTGACCACAACAATTGATGCAATGATTTTCCAAAAGTACTGTTTATCCGACAAGACTGGAAGTATTAGTATTAGAGAAAAAGAAGCAGCCCTGTGTCTTAGTAACATATCTTGTAGCAAGGTAAATGCTTGCCAGTATGTGGGCTTGAATGCAGTTCCTTTGGTTTGAGTGGAGCATTAAAAAAACATTATGCCAAAGTATCAAAATGGAAAATCTATTCAAGCTTACCAAAACATGCCAACATTTTTTTGAGTTTTAGCCAGGTGGAAATATCACTGTTAAAGGGAAAGTAATAGTGAGAATAGTCTATGAGCTGTGTTATTGTTTGATATTTAATAATATGCCAAGTCACCCCATCTCCCACCTCCCAGAGGGAGGTAGGAAGGAGCTGGTGCTGTGTCTGCCTAAAACCTACCCTCTCTGAGTCAAAGTGATTGCTGTGGAAAGTCATGCAGAGTGCTAGGATGTCAGATTATATTAAGGCTCAGCGCATGGGCACTGACCAATGCAGCCTGTGGTGCAAGGGGCTCCTCTTTCCAAAAAGGCGGTCTCACCCCTCAAAAGACAGTCAACCCTTGTGCTCTTATGAATTTTTTTCCCCCCTCACTGATCAAGTTTAAGATAATTTTTCAAATACATGCAACAACAGATTTCACTCACACAGACAGGGAGAGAAGTAAAATTCTGTATAGGTTTCCATTATGTGTGATTAAAGCCATACCGTGCATATTTCATGTGAGTTATGTTTCTGTTCCCAGCACATTTTTCTATTTGTTCATTGGGGTAAACCGACAGCTCCATGGAACGACTCTGCTGGGCCAGGAGAAGGGCAAGGGACACCTCGGGCAGCACCCCTGAGTCCTGAGATGTCCTGTAGAACTCAACGTACGCTCTGAGTGCACACACACAGTCAGATAATGAGTGTGCAGATTTAAGTTCTTTGTTAAAAAAAATGCATTGTACAGACAAAGTGCTGAGGTTTGATGTGCCTCCCTTTACCTGGAGCTCTCAAAGGAAATGCTTTTGACCTGTCCACAGAGGCGGAACAGAGACTGCAGCTGCTTGTAGTACAGGAAACCGTACGGAGGGAGGTTCCTCATCTGGACACAACACAACAGCTGATGTTACAATTACAAGATCCCAACTTCCTCTGTAACAAGTTTAAAAGATTATAGTCAAACTAGCTGCCCCATAAGAGTAAAGTATCAATCAAGGAGGAATCACATTTTAAGATCTGCCTGTTCTAAACATGTTTCACAACGATGATTTCAAACAGGAATCAGTTCTTGGCTGCCAACACAAAGGTTTATACCATCACTGTTGTTCTGGGGTTATAGCCACTTAATTCTCTGGAAGCCAGGTCTTCATCTATTTCCCCCTGTAGGAAGTAGTTGGGGTAGTAGGCACCAGCAATGACCACCTACGACAGAGTTAGGTGCAATAACAAAACTGACATTTAGGTGTGAATGTACAACTGCATATCTATTAACTCCAATAACAGATCTGAGTTGTAGACTCTAACTACACTTGGATCTGGGAGATCATTTACGGTATGTACATCCCATCATGTCCAGCACTGCCTCTAACCTGAAGAATGAACTTCTGCTTGTGTGTGCTGGTGTAGTCTGATGGTTCGTTGTCCTGCACATGCATGTTGAACTGGGACACACGCTTCTTTAGGTCCTCATACAACTCTGCAACCTGGACAGTGAGTTACGGATGAGGAGGGCGGAGCCACAAGTTTTTTCAAACATCTTAATTTCAAATCGATTAGCTCGTTAACATTACATGAGAAAATAGTAATCTGTGCACCAACAGGTTATAATCAACCAGTTAAAATCTGCCATGAAACTTGAACTTTAAAACAATAAACTCCATTCTTGCCATTAAAACTTAACAGAAAATTGGCTATATATATATATATATATATATATATACACACACACACACACACACACACCCACACACACACACACAACCATGAATTCATCTCTCTGCATCGTCTCTGTACCTCCCTGATCCTCTTGATCTGAATGAAGTTCTCTCTTCCCCAGTCCAGCTCGTCCTAAGAGGAGAGAGCAGCAGGCTCATTGCATCTTTCCCTTGGCAGCTGCTCTGTACATTATAGTTTTGTGCTTTATGTTGTTCACACAGTGCTATGATGATTTATTAACAATGGCACTGAGAAATTATGTTAACCTCAATGCCAATCATAAAAACAATTTAAGATGAATGACTGGAGTTTCAAGAGATGGCTCTGTACAACAGCAGTATTATTTTGAAGCTATATATAAAAAATAAAATTTTTTTTTAAAAAAATCAGCATATTTTTTATGTTTGTTGCTTTTTGCTGTGAGCTCATGATTGGTTGTTGTTTGGGTCACCTTTGGGTGTCTCAGATGTCCTCTCTTTTTGGATGAGTGCCATGCCTAACAGTGAAACAATAGAGAAGGGTTTTAAAAACAACAGCCATGAGGCAAATATGTGATTCCGCTGAGCACCACAACTTGCTGTTGACTTGACATCAAACATATTACCTTGAAGGCATTGACAAAAGCTATGGAATCACTTGGTGTGCCACGGGCAAAGGCCAACTTGCTCCTGGAATTACAAATACCATTCAGTGCAGATAAAAACAAAGATATAATACAGAGAACCTGTTTCTAGCCTGTACATAGTCTGCTGAAGAAATGTTGCAGTTTGTAACTTGGACTTTGTAGGCATCTTGTGCAAGAAAAACAATCTGTTCTGTTTTAATGGCCACACTAATTTTTTTTGGCATTTCATCATTTTGTATGACCACAGAGAGCGGCATCATGTTTGGACTGTGAGCATTTGCTTTCTACTGCAAGGCATCTCATTAGCCACAAAACACTGCAATGGGACCAAAGATATAAAAGTGAGTCAACAGTCAAGAGAGGGGCCTAGACTTCATCGAGTCCCAAATATCCTGTGCCCCTTTGTTGAGATTCAAAAACTATCTATACTGACAGCCCAGCTGTCTGTGAATTATTGCAGCTACTGGATGTGACTCACCTGTGGCCAGCAAGCTGCTGCATGGATGGTATGGCAAAGAAACTCTTCAGAGAGTGTGAGGCAGCTGGGGATATAACAAACAAACAATCACAAAAACATGTTACACGCACACCAACGCATTCCAAGAGTGTAATGATGACAGATTTGTTGATCAATCTATGTCTTTACGAATGCACACGTGCATATGCGGAAACTGAATCCCATTTCAGCTGTGTAATGACAGACTGACCTACGATGAGGCACTCATCTAGGCAGCCAAAGACATGGCCCAGGACAATCATCTTCCCCAGGCACAGGTCCACAGGCAGGTGGGCCAGCACTCGACCCAGGAACGTCAGCTCGCCATCCTCATTTTGTCCTTTGCCATCACTTTTCACAGACAGTGCACCCATCTGCAGAATAAATACTCAACCAGTGTGAAGACAGCAAGCTTTACTTATACCAGCTAATCAACTCCTAAACATTAACTCAGATTAGGTTTTACTTTTAATATTTAATGATTTGGACATGTAAATGGCTCATCTCATTCTTACCTTCACTAATTTGTAATAAAAATTTATGGGTATTGATGCATATTGTGTTTTTGTATTATGACCTCATTATCTTGAAATGCCTTTATCAAGCACTTGTAACTTTGTCTTTCTTACTATAAGACTAAATAAAAACAAAAATCTTTCTCTGAAATATTTATAATTTATCACTGATGAGAGCAAAAACAAGCTAACACTGCCCTACATTAGTCTCACCTAACAGACTTGACAATACTAACACTGGCTGACGCAAAGCTCCTGTGAGAGAACTCCAGGTCTAATACTGTGTGACAGAGCTGAGTGGTCAGCTGCCCGCCCGAATACACAACAGTCATCATCACAGCCACAAATTCAAACATACTTGACTAGACATTAGTGTCTCTCGCAGGGAAGAATCATCAATCTGGCATCTTTTTACTGACCTCTTTGAGTTGGAGTACCGTTCTCACTATGTCACCAAGGTTGGGGGGTGAGAGGGCTGTTGAGAGGAGGGAGCGGGGATCTCCCATGTCTAGCAGCTTCACCTTCAGCATGATGGTGGCCAAGGGGGCAAGCTGAGAGGAAGGCAAACAGTATGGCACAGATTGATTGTCAGAGCCATTCTCAACACTGCAAAAATAAAAATCTCTGGTGTTGGAATATATTTTCTTACCAGCATCTCAGGGATCATGTAGTCTGGGATTTCATTCCTCCAGAAATCTTTGGAGACAAGACGGTAACAGTAGCCCTTCGACACTCGTCCTGCCCTGCCTGACAGAGGGAGGAGATAAGTGAGAGAGGTCAGAGGTGAACAGACACTTTGCAGTTAAAGCTCTGTGCTGTAGTTGCCATACCTCTGCGCTGGTTGCAGTTGGTTTTGGATGCCCAGGTGAGACGTAGAGACTGAAAATTGGTATCCTGGTCACAGACCATGTGACGGGCCAAGCAGAAATCGATCACTGTGATGACAAAAAAAGAGCCATTACAAATAAAAATAAATGACAGAAAATAATAAATAATTAACCCAAGCTGAGGGACGAAAATATCCACCATATTTAACGTCCGGAACAGTCACCGAACTCTCTGCGATATTGGTGGAAAGGATGACCTGTGAAGATGCAAATATCATCAGTACAGCTCGTACTCCAACACATGTGAGACAGAATAAGATAAACTGCTTTTACCTTTCTGTATCCAGGGACAGGGAACAGAAACACACCGTTCTGCTCCTCCAGCGTCACGGTGGAGTGGAGAGGATAAACCTGCAATCTGAATAACAGAAGTCAATTCGTTGTAATGGTAAATATAAACATTCATCACAAGTAAAAAGGTAATGTAGGTTAATAAGAACTATGCATTTTAGAGATGTTCACTCTAATCATCATCACTAAAACACAACACTGACTTGTCTTAAAAAAAGAAAGCCAGGGAAATGGCTAAAGAAGACAATGATATTAGCTACAGAGAAAGCTTAAACATACAGGTAAACTCAAAAGCCCACCTTTTGTGGACCAGCTTGGCCAAGGCCTCCTGCATGTAGCTTATCTCATGTATACCAGGAAGGAAAACCAGCACACTGCCTCTCTCTGACAGAGTCATGCCACCTTCTTTCTCAGCTTTTCTGCTCACACACAAACACACATTTCAACACATAACTGAACAAACAGGGGACAACAGCGTGTCTGGCCAAGCAGTTAAGTGTGCTAAAACACCAAGGCTTCACCTGGAATCTTTGCCCTCCATCTCGTCAAAGCTCTGGATGAGACTGATGGCCAGATTGTACATCTCTACTGAGATATGAGGGTCATCAATATGAAGCAACTCAACCTGGCGAAGAAACATACAAATATGTAGACTGTACAATACAGAGAACAGCAGCATCAGTCAACAACTACTTTCTCATTACCCTGTATGGAAACATGTTTTGGAGGTCGTCCAGATAAAACTCTTCAATGGCATAGGGTGCCCCCTCCACTTCAAACACGTAGGCTGGGTTCATCTTGCCACGAATTGGGGTGCCAAAGTACTCAGCAAATTGTCTGCAGTTAATGGTGGCTGACATGAGGATGATCTGAAAAACACAGGTTATACGAGTGAGAGTTCAACTGACTGAGGACAACAGAGGAGGGATGTTTACTTTGATCTAGCAATTACCTTGACATAACGAGAGTTGGAATGAAGGAGTTTTCTCAAAACCAGTAAAAGAAAGTCCATCTCCTCAGTGCGCTCATGAACCTTGGGTAAAGGCAGAGTTGTTAAACGGCCACATTTGGATAATAGTCACTAGTAACAATAGTCACTAATCTACGATTAGAAAATAGGATCTAATGATTAAGCCATTCCCATGTATAAGCATAAAATGTAAATGAAACCAAAGCAAAACATGACAGACATGATGAAACTGATAATTACAGCAAAATAAAATGTGGCAAATTTGAATTTAACAAGTCCATCTTACTCAGTAAAATTAATACTATTTTGATTCAATATGCAACATATGAGCTTTTTAAGGGAAATCATTTGTAATCTAGCCAAAAAACAAACTCAAAATCTCAGTACCAGTTATTTCGAAATGTACATTCATTTAAAATGCTCCTCACCTCATCTACGAAGATGTGGGAGTACTCTGTGAGGCACTTGGCTGAAACCAGTTTTTGCAGCAGCACTCCTGTCGTCATGTAGATTAGCCGGGTGTGCTCAGTAGCCATCTTCTCCAGTCCAACCTGAAATACAAATATTGAGTTTCATATAAATCTGTCCAACACATATCCTTGAATTTTGACATTGTAAATCAATACTATCTGTTTTTTTGGCACTCTCACAGCGGATTTAGAATTTTTTACTCTACAAAAACCTGAGAATCTTGTCATCTGAACATCAGCTCATAGAAATCACCACCCTGTCTCCCTGGGGGATGCACTTCTTCAGTGCCATACCATCTATGTTTTGGTTTCCTTACCAAGGTCATAAATACTCATGGTGTTTTATATACCATTTTATTACATTACAGCACTGCACAGATCCACTGAGTTCCAGGGCACACTTTTGTTATACATTTTCCATTGGCAAATCAAGGCATTCCTTCTTGCCATGTAAAACACAGAAACACAGACTTATTGTCTCCCATTAAGGTTATATTCCACTGCCTCAGAGAGATGAACAGAAGAAGCCACAGTAAACTTCCTCTACAATGGCTTTGGGCCTAAACTTTTTGCAGTGTCTTAAAAATAATGTCTGCAGCGCCAACATGACCATTTCTGGTTGGTTTGGGAGAAAATACCAGTGACCTGAGATATAATCCATTGCTACCCTGTCTGACCTCAGGGAAATACTTTTGCTTCGCTGACTCAACTCTGAGCACAAAAGAACTTTCCATTCATTGACTGCACGACTTTCATAAACCAAGACAAAAAAAAAAAAAGGAACAAGGAGAGAGCTCTCTTCTTGCAGAAAAGCTAAAAAAAATTAAAAATCACCTTAGCAATATATAGAATAAAGAACATAATATTCAGGTTATGCTGCATTACCTGAGCATTATATCTCTCTTACTAACATCAACTGTTTATTATTGCTCCCACTTAAATTACATCATCTTTAACTCCAGAGGTCTGCATCGAGCGGAGGAGACAACAGTTATTATTAGCACTGTTTCAGAGCTCTGCACAATACAGTCAGACACCCTGGCAACAAAGCACACACAAGAGCTTGTCAACACATGCATACAAAAACTTGTTTTTTAACTGCGAGACATGAAATGAGTGCTTTTTGTGCAGTCTAAAGTGAATCGCTACAGGTCAATGGTCAGATAGTGCAGAGCAACTGCTGTTACATAAGAGTGGTACAGGTGTTAGTCTCATTCTTTTTCTCCCTTATATATTATAAAATGAATAAATGCATGGCCTTTCATATTTGCAGGCCCATATATGTATTGCACAGTTTAAATAAACCAGATTCAATCTAAACATTACACCAACCTGACATCCCACCAGACTACCCAGAGTACACTTTCTCTGTGTGGCAACCCATCGAGCAATACTGGTGGCCCCAATTTTGCGAGGCTGGGTGACCACAATGTTGCACGAGGCATTTTTCTCGTTGTAGTGGTCCAGAATATACTGAGGCAGCTGGGTGGTCTTGCCACTGCCTGTGGCTCCTCGAATAATCACTACAGAGTTGTTTTCTATGAGGGAAATCAGCTGGAAGCAGACACACACACACACACACACACACACACACCCACACACACACACACCCACACACACACACACCCACACACACACACACCCACACACACACACACCCACACACACACACACCCACACACACACACACCCACACACACACACACCCACACACACACACACCCACACACACACACACCCACACACACACACACCCACACACACACACACACAGATAACAAAAGAAAAAACAGAAACCCATTTGGCTATTTGTACCATATCATCAACATAAAAAAGAAATTTAAAAATCAGTTATGAAATAGTAGTGCAGATGGATGTGCTAAGCTGATTTGTAATCAGAAGTCCAGACTTTATAATCTGCATTAAGAAAGTGCAGCTTAAATGACAGCATGAGCTCCTAAAATATACACACACCACTCTATTAAACAACAGAAAATGTTTGCCTGGTGAATTTCAAGTTAGGTGTTGTCCTGCAGCATCACATAACATTGAGTTCATCTTGGGCAAACAGTAAAAGCTTTAAAGTACAAGTGTCCTAAGGACATAGTGACATTCTCAGTAAAAGTATATACATGACCAAAAGAAAAAGAACTACAGGAGAATGAGTGTGCACTTAAAGACCATCAGGCTGCGTGGTTGGGTGTATGCGGCATATGGACTCTACATTTTACCTCCTGTCTGTTTTTAGTTATCGGCAAGCTGGGGTACTCGTAGCTCGCGAGTGCAGGAGGAGCAGTACCTTAAGATTCAGATTACAATACAAAGTACAGATTAATATGCATAAGAAATACAGTTCAACAGTCTATTGCAGATTTGTGTACATTTTACAATGAAGGCAAACATGATTTAAGAAGAAGAAAAGAAAAAGTCAACACAAAGTTCAAAACTCACTCCTCACTGTCGGTTCTGTTTTTTTTAACCCTTCTCTGTCAGGGTTCACAGTCTTCAGGCTGCCCTCTTCAGGAACCTCTGCTGGTCTGAAAAGAAACAAGATTAGAGTCATGTCTGAAGCTCTATAACGTCAATGTTAACAACCTGTTAGGGACAAAATGTTGTGTTTTTGGGCTATATAAGTGATAATGACTTGATAAGCTACTATGTATAGGAACTGAAATTTTCAGGCTTTTTACTCCAGTTTCCACTTAGATTACAAACACACTTAATTCAATTTCACAGACCAAACAGCAATCTTTTTATGTTCTGCTTATATGGGACAAGTTTCCTTCTCTCTATTCATGACAGACAACATTCCTTCTTCAGTAATTCTAGATAGCAATGTATAGGTAAAGGATACAGCGTAATACTCAGTTTGATCTCAGAAAGCATAACTGCCAAAGTCCCAAAGAAGCACTTGGTAAGAAATATGCAATCACTGAATAAAAAATCTGTTGCATGTACTGTTAAGGACAGGCTAAAATAAGAGGCTGAACTTTAGCAGCTTTAATAAAATTCCCTTCCAGACCCTGGATAAATTTTAGATCAGTGTCTCAGTGCTGCGTTTTATTTCTGAATGCAATAGCTTGTAGCAATGTGAATATGCTACAATTTGTCAGCCATCATCACCTTCGCTACATCCATTGTGGCTAAGACTGGGTACTGCAGCACTTAATGCTATTTGACACAACAGACAGACCAAGACTGAGGCAGTTCTCAGAAATGAAGGCGTTTTTATTATCACTTAAAAAGACTCCAATTCTAAGTTGAGTAACACTGAATTTATAATTAAAAGTAAACTCTGAATGTAAGTTCACAGTGAGTGAAAATACCAGCAGCTCTGCCCACTTCGTTACTTAATGTCATGTCTAACTTTGCTCCGAGTCTCTGCCTCCTCTGGTCAGCTCAGCCAGGCCTGCAGCACTGTAGCCTGGAGTGCATTCCCAGTTGTCTCTGCCTCTCCCTTTCTCTTCGTGAGGGGAGGATTTTATCGCAACAGCAGGCACAAACTCTGACAGAGGAGCTCAAATACAACACACCCACGGCTCGTGCGCACACATGCACTCTCGCCCTCTCTCTTTCTCTCCAATGCACAAGCTACAAAGCAGCTGACCTTACAACAAAGCTGCACACTGCACAGAGGAGAGTGGGGTGAAAGAAGAGGAGAGGTGACAGCTCTTAGTCAGTTAGCAGTGTGTGACTAACTCTCCTGGAAAAAGTCTGCGTGACAGGAGCAGCGGAGGGATGATAAGGACAAGACAATAACTACAAGACAAAGAGGAAAAACGATTCCAACAGTTAAAACATTGGAGGATTGCTGCGGACACACACGTGATATGCTCTTTTGATGGCATTTGACATCAAGGGATGTAGTCGACAGCGAGTGAAGGAATGAAGTTTGCTTGGACTGACAAAAGCTGCAGACTGTACTCTGTGAAAAGCTCATCTTTGCTCATTTTCTGAATATCTCAGAAAAGCATCAGCAGTGCAGTTTTCACCTGTAAGTACAAATCTTTCCTTTCAATCTTCAGCCAAATGTTAGTGTGATGATTCTGTCCTGCACATGCTGGAAGACTCAGTTGTCCAAGTAATGATTTTTGTTGTTATTATTTTTGGAGCGCTCAAGCAGGAATCAAATCAGACATGAGAAAACTGCACTGTTTTTGCAACCTTACGATGTGTAAAGTGCTCAGTGAGGCTGACCTCTGACCCTGCAGGCTTTGTAATCCATCTGGAGGCTCTGTTGAATCCATCATCTTGAAATCATCTTTTTCAGAGTTTGACTTGAACTGAAGGCAATCATAGCACCCATCAGGCAGAGACCATAGGTCGGCTTAGACAGGGGTGATCATCCTTCACTGTCAACCTTAAAGCATTAATTTTAATAGGGCTACACAGTTATGGTTAAAATGAGAAACAAAATTTTCTCATTTAGGTTGAGATTTTCTTGCACATTTCTCATTGTGGTCTTACAAGCTGAAAATGTGATCGCATTTTGGTACAACTACAGTTTTTTTCTTCAGGAATTTCTTGATTTTGACAAATTTTTTTCCTCATATTTGACTTTCCTCTAGAGCTCGTTTCCAACATTATTCTTTCATTAGATTTATCTGCCCTTGCACAGTTTGTCTCATGGTGTAATGTTCTCGTCATTTGAAGGTGCAATTTAGAGAGAACTTGGCACTTGCTTTGAAGCAAGAAATATTCAAGCATATTCAAATGCTTTAAAATGGCTTCACGGCACAGAATAACAAAGAATTCTTGCTTTTTCAGTTTTCAGGATTGTCTGCTGTGACCACCATGCCCCTGTTCAGCTGGATGAAGTGGCCACATGAGACAAGAGTGCAGACTCAGGATGAAGCACCACCTCTTAAGACCTCAGGGGTTGTGCCCAACCGCATGTTGATCAGAGAACTCCTGTGGCATGTGGAGGAACGTGAGCAGCTGGCAAGGGAACTGGAGCGAGAGCACAGGCTGGCCCACAGCACCATGGGTCTCCACTGGTTTCAAAAGTACCCTAGGTTACGGACCCTCATCCCCACATCGGAGCTACACCAATTGGAGTTCTTGTGTGCCCAGATCCCACCCATCCACGCAGCCACCGTCCTTTCCAGGTGTTTGGTAGTGGACATGCCATGCTCCATCCTCACATTAGTATGCTGTCAACAGTGGCTAGCTGCTATTGCATCAACACAAGGCCTGACAGCAGGCAAAGCAGAGAAGACCCAAAGGGAAAGAGAGGCAGGGCGAGCTGCCAAGAAAGCCATTATGTGTTACTGTCACAGAGGCAGGCAATGTAGGGTGTGAACATGTGAAGGTGAAGGATGCCCTGTAAGGCTGAGTGCAGCCAGACTGCCGGGGTTTCCTTTCATCATCTCTATGTTAGCAATTATGATATTAAAAAGGAGGTTGAAGAGTTGTTCTACATGTTTGAGCACTGTGACCTACTTACTCATTTCCCATAAAACCCACTACTAGGTCACTAGTATGTGCTTACATAACCACATTACCAGAGAATAACATATTTAGTAAGATAGGTGTTATAATGTTTGTACCATTTCCACAAATCTGTGCTGTTGTCCTAGATACGTCATTCTTCAAACTACAAGACACTCAAAAGCTGGAAGACCATACAGTTCATAATTTTTGAGATGGGTAAAATACAGAAAAATTAGAAACTCATGGCTGAAATTGTGGGAGGCTGACATTGCGTTGATATAAATCCTTGAAACTTCAACAAGTGTTTAATTAACTATATTGGTGCATTGTTCCACAGGTTTCGTGAAGTGCTTGCCACTAACAACATAAGGCCCTGGGAGCTGGCATCTGTGTTCAAGCAGGTGCTGAGGGACTTCCTGAGCCAAAAGCAATATGATGATGAGGACGACCTCTCAGTGCAGCCAACACAGCTCCAACCAATGGAGGCTTGGACCAGCCGCTACAAAATGAAGCAGGGCTTTGTCACACCTACCGTCCCCAACTGTGGAGACCACCCAAGGGACGAGATCCCAACAATCTCTGGATATGTGGACCGGGCCATGCGGCACTCCAGTTCATTCACAGCCAACAGGGACTGGGACCTTCCATATTACTATCCAGTTCCTCTCAGGCCCAAAGGGGCATACAGCACTACTCTGTGAGAGAATGAACTGCTCAACATCCGCAATCTTGTGTTTAACACACGGAAAACCAGTCATCACATCCTCAGCATGGAGATGAGATTCAAAACTTGATTATTTGTATTAGTTTTAGATATTTCAAGGCTTGTGACCAAAATGCATTTCATTACAAGAACTAGTTTTTTGCCTGCCTGCTCTTTATAATCCCATACTTCTGAGTGGTTTTCTGTAGTCCTGATTACAGACATCAGAGTTGAGGATGTATTTCAAGAGGTATATTATAAGGTAGTAAAAGAGATGTCATGTGGACACGGGATTTGAAAACATGAACAACCTGGACAAAGTAGTCACAGGTTTTTGGCTTACTGGTCTTTAAAGAGAAGCAAAGTGTACCTGTGAAATCTCATCACAGGCTGAAAATGTCTGAGTTTTGCAATGATCAACCAAAGACTGTTATTCCCCTTCTCACATTATTTCATCTGAACAATTTTGAGAGCCATAAAGAGGTAAAACTATCAAGTAGTTCAAGAAAAAACTGAAAAATAAACATCATTTGTGTAGTATACATGCTTTTGTCTTATTTGCCATCTTGTTAATCCTTGTCCCAACGCAACCTGAGTATTGAAAATACTGAAAATAACAGCTTTTTTATGAGGGGGACTAATGATGGCAGTATTTCCAAATTCTGGCAACAGCTTAAAAACCCCTGTTACAGTACCGTAACTGAAAACCTCCATTTGACACAATTGAAAGAAATTTCAGATAGAGGGCAGTATTTAAAAAAAATACAATTAGGCAGACAGTTTAAACAGATGAAGATAATTAACTAACATGTTGGCTACAACTCAACACAGGCCATCATCCTCCAACACGTATGTGCATTGCTACTACTATATTTTCAAACTTTAACCAGTTTGTGGCTATGATAAAAGAGACACCTGCAGCCTGCAATATTTTCAAACTACTCGCGCAGGGCAGGTGGGAAGCAGCGATGCTAGCTAGCATGAGGTTAGCCAACTTTAAGCTAGCTGACCACTGAATTAACTTCAGGTTAGCTCACCTGATCTCTTTCGACGTTGGTTCATCGAACTTTCTTTCAACCGCCTCTTCTGTAAGTTTAATGTTTGCAAACGTGGTCCCTGAGGTGAACCAGCCCGAAATCTGTTCTGCGGTGAACACTTTCTTCATGTTGCATCTGTTTAAATTAAGTACATTCTTCAGTCGTGTCTCTCTCTCCCACCTGGTAAAGTCAGCTTGGTTGAATTTAAAGCGCGAGACCTCTTTACATAGTCTATGAGCGCGAGACAACCGAGGTGAACGAACTCAAGTCGCCCCCTGGCGGTTGGACTAAAAACTGCAAACAGCGAAAAAAACAAGAAGCACATGTTCACAATTCGCAAATAATTTGTTGGAAAAAAAAATATACTGATAAAAGCCAATATTCATTATATAGATACAGATGTGTGACAATTTAAAGGAAAAACCTAAAAATGAGTGGAGAAACATGATAATACCCCAATTCCATAAGGCTCCATGGGTCCCTGAATGGTTTGAGAATTAAAATGATGTAAATCACATCCAATGGCCTTCACATTTCAAACCAGCTGCACACCTATGGGTGATTTTGGACCGACACGTTATACAGCGCTCTCCAATAGAGTTCAGAGACTTGTAGAATCAGTGTAAATGAGCATTGAAGTTGTTCTGGTGGCTCATGGTGGCCAAACACCTTAAGACACCTGTTGGACACGATGTTGGGTTTTTCTTACCCATCTGTATGTAGGATAGACAAAAAAACCCTCTCATAATAATAATAATACCATCCATATTTGTCTGTGAGATAAATATTTCCCACTGTCTCAAACCAAGGAGGAAATAAAAACAAATTAAATCAGGTGCTGCCATGATGCCTGTCTTATCTCACGATACTAAGACATAAACATGGAGATAAATGAAAACATCTGAAGACATCACATTGGGTTCTGTGAAACTATAATGGGCATTATTTTGTTATTTTTGAAAATAAGACAGCTAATTGACTCATCTAGAAATCAATAGGCAGATTAATCAATAATAAAAGATATTGTTAGTTGAAGCCCTAGCCGAAATACTTTTTTTACATTTTTACTTGAACAGAATATGAAGCGAGAGATTACTGCTTACAGGAGGTAGAAAAAATATTTTTAATTACAGTATGTAAAAAAAAAGTTCAGTATGCTAAAAAAAAAAGACATTGGGTATACACTTCAGTATGATGGGAAAAATACATAACAAACATAATACAATGGATACAACTCATGGTCAGACAACAATCACAATTACAACATGAGAAATAAGCACCAAAAAATCATGAACATGTGATATGTTCAGTTTTCACATTAAGATGTTCGACGTTTCAGCGTTGTTATAATTTCCATGTAGGCTGTGAAGGTGACTAGGTGTGCTACCATAAATCTAGTGTAATGAAACCACACCAAGAAAAGATGGAGCTGGACTAATGGCAGTTTGGTCACACCTATTCTGTCCATGCTGCTGCAATAGCAGATCAGTGAAAAGGTAGAGTATGCCTCCAGGCAAAATTTGTTAGAGGTGTCATAATATGAAGTGTTTTTAGCAATGAAAAAAAAAAAAAAAAATGAAAAAAAAAAAAAAAAAAAAAAAAAAAATCAAAATGCCTTTGTACTTGAAACCATTAAAAAACTGTGAAAGATTCGATTTCACCTCCATTCAAACAATTAAAAATCTGAGATTTAGGTCATTTCCAGTGAGGGACATCCATTGTTGTCTCGCATTAAGCTAATCTCTGTTCGGAGCTTTTCATTTTCCTTTAAAACAAACAAATGCACAAAGTTGATTGTTGTGATGTGTTAACAGTATTTAAATGACCAAGGAGAAGCCCCCTTTAAAAGATAGCAGAAATGTTAGTTACCTCTTGAAGTTTGGTGTTGTCCTTTTTCAGCTTCACCAGATATTCAATCCTCTGTTTGTGGTTCTTATGTCCCACAAGTTTCCCATTCTCCTCTGAAAGCTTAACGTTCTGCTTACGGAGAACGTCATTCTCCTGTAAGAAAGAAAGTATATTAGTCAAGTCAGCTAAGAATTATCTGTTAGTCTGGCCGTAGTTGGGCAACCTTTGTGTCATCAAAATCAGTGATTTTGAATTTGAATGTCACAGTGCTCAAATTAAAGTGTAATATGAATCAATTCTCAGAACTTCATTCATGTTTCTACAAGGTCTTTTTTTATTTACATTACTGTCATACATGTCATGATCAAGATTCCATTAAATATAGAGTTCCCCCTCTCTGTGTTATATGTACTCATATGAAAAACCTTTATCTGCTTTTTGTTATTTACTTTGTTTTGTTGTCTGATGTTTATGGTTATACCTGACTGAATTGTTTTGCTTTGTGGACATAATGAGACTTCTGCCTGCCTTCCTCCCCTGAACATATCTGTCAATGCACTATTGTTGTATTTCACCATCATGGTTGAATTGTGTGAATATACACCAAATAATAAAATAAACTACTTAGCCTGAAAAGACTGAAATATGTAAGTTACCAAGTCATTGTCTTCAAACAGCAGATGGCAGACTATTTAGTGTCATATGCATATTATATTTTCTGACATTAATGTTGTTATGTAGCCATCTTCCACAGTAAAATGTCTCTGGCCAACCCACACTGGGTGCCTTGAATGTATTAGGAATCTTTCTCTAGGGAACATGAATATGCACAGCAAAATTTCTTCAGGTTGACTGAAGCTTCATCTTATCCCAGCTCAGATATTTTGCTCAGCAGTATATTGTTGTCTTGACAACTCACCTCGCCATCCTTGCACTCAAACACAAGAGGAGTAAACACATTGCAGATTTTAGCTTTAAGTATAATACATGGAAGCTAAACTGTCCCTACTGGCCTACTCTCACTCTCACCTGTAGTAGTTTCTCCTCATCATGTATCCTGTGGCTCAGCTCTCTCAGCTCCAAACAGCGGTTCCTCAGCTCACCGGTCAGCTCCTGAACACAAGTCTGAGACTGAGCCAGCATGGCCTCCTGTTCCTGCAGTCTGATCCACAGCACAAAAAGAGAAGATGGTTGTCAATCATCAAGAAATAATGAAGGATGAGATCAACATGCAACAACAAAATTGAATTAATTAAGTTAACAAAACCTCTCCACAGATGCTTACCTTTTATGAGTGTTTGTCAGCTTCTGTATTATGTTGCTCTGTTAATCAATGACAGAGGAACATGTACTAAATAAATGATTCACTCAAGAGAAAAAATATAACCAGGAAAGAGAAAGATGCAAACCTTCTCAGTTCTCTCCTCCTGCAACTCTTTAAGAATGGACTGCTTAATGGCATCATTCAACTCCTCACTGAAAATCACAAGAAAACATCATTCATTTTCCTTATGCCATCAACAACAGATGATCTCTTTGCATTGTAAAGCAGGAAATGGCTGAGTAACTAGATAAAGAAACTCAACCCATTATTTCCATTCTCTGACAGCTGGCTCTGCTTGGTATAAAACTTGTCAAGCAAAGCCTGGATTTCCATTCGGACCATCTCTTTCTCAGTGAGCTGCGTCTGAGGACAAGTAATACAGATTATGAGTTATTATCGATTGAATTCACAGGGATTGGGACCATTTAATTTATTGCATTTATTTAAATAAATGAATCCAAAGCAAGAAAAAACTTTTTAATGCAGTGATTTCAATTTTTGACTTTTTATGGAATTATAATTAACCTAGAAAACATAGACTAAAAACTGGCTAAAGGGCCATTTAATTAATTTTAGCACAAATTTATATAACACCTTAAGTCTTTGGATCTCCTCATTTTTGGCAGTCCTCTCATGATTCAGCTCTGCCAAAAGAATCTCCATGGTCATCATGGAGGAGCGTCGATTCTCCAGCTCCCTCTCCTGGCTCTCTAGCACCTGGGTCAGGTCCCTGCTGAAGCTTCCTGGAGTACGGGGCGTCTTTAGAAACAGAGAAATAAAACAAACTTGATGTACTTTTGACTGCAAATTGAAAAATTTAAATAAAATAAGACACACATGCTCCGTTTGTGAAGGCATATTTAAAGAATACCTAAACCATAAACAGGTTTTACCCGAGGTAATGATTTAGGCGTGACTGTTGGCTCAACAAGGGGTTTCAAACCTCCGTTTCTGATCGTTTTTTCAACAGCTTCTTGCTGTTGTTGCACCTGGTTAAAAAGGACAATGACTTTTATTAGTAATTTGGTAAGATATTATCCTCATGATTTCTTTTTATCTCAGTGATTATTTGTGACTTTGCTTTGTATTGAGATAACTAAACTTCACCTTCTGCCGTAGATTCTGTATTATGACATCCTTCCCGGCTGTTTGCTCTTGAGATGCTTGGAGGAGGCTGTTCTGCTCATCTAAGACCTTAGTGAGTCTCTCAACCTCCTCAGTGGCATAAGTCACCTCCTCCTGCAACACTTCAACCTAAGGACAGACACACATATTACGTATATTGTAGCTTTATTATTTCGCCATGCTTTTGCTATGTACAAAACAAAAGAGTCATAACATGAATCACCTGCAGTAAATTTTGAAAAATCCACACGAAAATGTGTGAACAGAGGTGTTTAATACAACCCAAGTTACCTCTATATTATTGGATGCCACTCTCCTTTCTAAATTTTCTTTCAGGTCACAGATTTCTGTCTGCATCTTAGAGTTTTGCTCCCTGATATCCTCCCTCTCAAGGCAGGCAGCATTGTACTTGGCCTGGAAAAGAAAGACGTCATTATTATAAACTTGCCCTGACTGGGCTTGGGATTGTAACTACATCAGCAACAAATGAAGTTATTCAAGACAAATCAAGGGTGAAATAGGAGGAATAGTAAAGTACTGTGATGTCTTTGACATCTCCAGACAGGTGGGTAATGGTCTGGTCCTTCTGGCTCAGTTTACTGCGCAGGTCTCTGGTTTGGTTAATCAGATCTAGAACAACATCCTGTAAAACAACACGAGACATTCAGGAGGGTAGCAGATATATTGTAGTTGTATTTGAAGAAATAAGAGACAGGAGTGAATTATTCATTCAGGCTTACGTTATCCTGTTCAATCTTCTGCTCCAAGCCTTTTATGGTTTCATTGGTAGAGGTTAATTTTTGCTCAAGATCAACAAGTTTGGACACCTTC